CAGCACATCTCCAGGTGGAGGATAGTAAGGGGCCTCTTTTCAGAGATTTGCTGCAAACTTAAGATTCAAGGATATATGTAAAAACACTATGAAAAGTTTTAACATCAATCCAAGCTCTTGGGAATCTACGTCATCAGATTGTAACACCTGGTGACAATTATTACAACAGGGTACGTCATTTTTCGATAGGACCTGTGCAAGTCATGCAAAAGAACTCCGCTTCAGAAGGAAAAATTCTCAGACTCATGAAAATGGAAGTAGACTGGCATGTAGCTGTTTTAATCAACTGTGTAACTCCAATGTTGGACGCATAAGCCACAAAAGAAGTTGCAGATCCAGGCACAACTCATAAATTGGCACTGCCGCTGCTTACCACCATCTCTTGACATGAACGGGCCATATATAATAATTATTACTCAACTGAATGTCTTGCAAAGATTTAATGAAGAGTATTAATGGCTCTTTAAATTACTCAGAATTATGACCAGAATGGCTTTGGACATACAAGACCACTCTTACAAGCATAGTCCAGCATATCAGTTTCTGTATTCTGTTCAGAAGATCCTAGAACTGAACTATGATTTTCATGGAGAGTGCTCCACTGAATCATGGAACCATTGTTTTGAAAGAGATCTTGAGAGGTCATCCAGTTCAGTAGCTCTCAACCTTTCTAGATTACTGTTTCCCTTTCAGGAGTCTGTTTTGACTTGCATATCCCTAAATTACATGTACAGGCAGTCCCCGGGTTACATGGATCCTGCTTACATAGGATCCCTACTTACAAACGGGGTGAGGCAACCCCACACTAGCTGCTTCCCCCCAGCAGACCAGGGAGACAGCAGACCAGGGAGACGTGGAGCGGCTTTTCTCAGCAGACACCTCAGCTTGAGAATAAAGGACTGAGGGAAGTGAGGTGTGGGAGAATAAAACTGAGCTCTGGAGAAATGTTTGGCTATGGTTTCCCCTACCATATGTACCAGTTCCGACTTACATACAAATTCAACTTAAGAACAAACCTACAGTCCCTATCTTGTACGTAACCCAGGGACTGCCTGTACTTAAAAAAACTACTTACTTACACAATGAAACATAAAAACGCGAAAGTATCACAGCACAATATTGCTGAAAACATGCTTACTTTCTCTTTTTTACCATATAATTATGAAATAGATGATTGAAATATAAATATTGTACTTACATTTCAGTGTATATAGTATATACGGGAGTATAAACAAGTCGTGTGAAATTTTAGTTTGTACTAACTTCACTAATGCTTTTTAGGAGCAGGTTGTAAAACTAGGCAGCTATCTAGATGAGTTGCTGTCCCCTGGAAGACCTCTGCATACCCCAGAGGTATATGTACCTCTTAGTTGATAAATGCTGATCGAATTCCTGGCTCTCTGTCAGAACTGGGCACACACTTTTTTTCTTTAAATCCAACATGTTAGCAAATGATAGATAGTGCAGGGTTTGTGACTTTTACACATATTTTCAACATATTGGATCAACTGTTTAGTGATTGTTGGAAGCCTGGAATGATCCATCTGCTTTGCTCCATTAGGACACACATTTCAGACCCTGGTTTTACTACTTACATGTAAAGTAATGCTCTAAAGAGCTACTACAGATTTGATTTGTCTTTTTTTTTCTTCTTGACATTGCTTTTCTAGTTATAGGTAAGTTATTATACAGACTCAAAAGATGCATAATGTGAGTTAGGTTTATTTTTCAGTTTATGAACCTCTGAGATTTGAGCAATCTTAGTGCAAAACTGATTAATCCCTATGTTTGTGTCTTCAACATATTTATGGTTAATAAATCTTCTGCTAACAATCCAAAAACTAATGGTATCAAAGAAAGAGAGCTCTGAGGGGAAGTAGTAAAGATGACTTGCCATAAAGAAGTATGTAATGCCTCTCTTTGTCAGCAGCCTTGCTGGAGCTATAAATGTATATTATTGGTGCGAAACCTCACAGCAACCATAATGTACCGATAGACCAAGAATGGGCTTATTATGGAACTTTTGCATCCAGTAGCAGATATTTTTCCATGACATTTTAACAGGCTGTATAACAACTTAATACTTTAAAAAAGCTTCCTTGAAACTTGTAATTGTTCTATAGTATCCACCCTGACTAATATTTGTGAGTGAACAACTTTCTAGTACTGTATATACACTCCGACGATATGTCTACACTGCAAGGTCAATTCAAAATAACAGCTGTTATTTCAAATTAACTTTAATATCATCTATACATGCAAACCGCTATTTCAAAATTAATTCGAAATAGCGGAGCGCTTAATTCAAATTTGGTAAACCTCATTCTGCGAGGAGTAACGCAAAATTCGAAATAGCTATTTCGAATTAAGTGCTGTGTAACCCCTCCCCAGGGAGCCCTGGTGGCCACTCTGGGCACAACCAGGAAAATTTATTCTCCTCTCCCCCAGCCCCGGAGCCATTAAAGGGGTAGACCCTAGCCACAGTGCCTGTGCCAGCTCCAAGCCTGCCAGCCCAGAGCCAGAAGTGGCCACCGGGGATCCGACCCAGTGGTCCCAAAACATGAGCCAGCAAGCCACTGGCAGCCAGCCCTCCAGGGCAACCACAGCACGTGGCGTGAGTTTGGCGTCCCATGAGGGGGTAGGAGTGGAGAGTGGTGTGTGAGATGCAGCTGCAGAGAGGAGCCCTGTAAGCACGTGTCTCAACAAGCAGCCACAGGAACTGTCTGCCCTCCTTGTGTCCGCCCAAGAGTGCTTCCGGGGGCTTTAAATCTGATGCAGGCTGTGGGTGTGCTGGTTTGAAATAACACTGAGCTGTTTCAGTGCTGCCTTGTAGAGTGGACCCGCCGTTTCAAAATTATTATTTTGTGAGTTCTTTTTTCAGTATAAGTTATTTTGAAATAATTTCCTCATGTAGACATGTCCAGTGAAATTATTGCTAAGCAATGCATTATGTTTCCATGACCTGCCCAATACATTCCTATGCAATTTCAGATGAAGCTTTTATTTTTTTCCCCTAATTTATACATGCATCCAGTGTACACAGTCTTGCAAAACTTTTTGAAAGAGACTTAAGTGGTTCACAAACACTATGGATTCAATATAATTTCACATAGGAAATTATTGGTTAGATTGGAGAAGATAGAGGTTAATATGAGAATTGAAACATGGATAAGAAATTAAAAGGTGTGACTAATGGATGGTATTGAAAAGTGAAGTATCAGGCATTAGGGAGGTTATTTGTGGAGTTCTTTGGATCAGTCTTGGGACCAATCTTACTTAGCATTTTTAATGCTGATCTTGGCATAAAAAATGAGTGTGTACTGATAGACTTTTCAGATGACACAAAGTTGGGAGATATGCCTCTGAATACAAGAGGAGAATGCTGGTGCAGGGTGACATTTTAAACTGAGACATGCTAATATAATTGTTAAATTTAGGCTTCACGTCGACGTTAATTAATTTTAGTGAAATCGTTTGGGAGCTGTGGTAACTTGAGTAGGTAACCTTTGGAAGGATATGCAAACCCCACACTTGGTAAAGCAGGTTTAATGAGCTAATGTGGGCTAGTCTGGTACTGCCCCGCCACACCTGTGAGAGATATGAGAGTCTGAGGAGAGAGTGTTCATTGACAACTGCAAAAGAAGTGTATTGCCTGAGCTCTGAAGCCTGTACTGGGGTGGTAGAACATCTGGATTTTGGGGAACAAAAAATCTGTTTGAGTGTGAAGGCCCAGCCTGGGCCAGCGGAACACAATGGGGAAGGAACATGGTGGCAGTACCAGAGTAGCATTCTGTCTACACAGAAAATGAGCCTCATCTTGATCTATTGCTTTAAACCCAGCTAAGGGGGAGCAGCCATAAATTGGTTGCACTGCCCACTAACTCCTGATTGGTTTTAAGGCTTTTGGAACTAGTAATATCAAAAGAGCGTTTCATTAACTTCTGCAATATGTCCTAGTAATATTGTATCTCATGCTGAGCAGTTGGAAAGGTTACTGACTCAAGTGAAAGGTGTAATATTACAGCTATTACTCAGTATTAAGCCATCATAGGCCTCTAGTGTGAAACACTAAGCATACCTTTTATTATTTCTTTTTAACTGCTGTACAGAGAACTCGCAGCCTGGGCCAAGATGATTCTGATTTCTCTTTATTCGCCTTCTTAATAGCTTAATACGGCCCCAGTATTGTATACCATATTGCTTAGACTTACTTGAACAACCTCCAGGGATTCATTTTGTAGGGTGAATTTTAATGTCCAAAGAAAATTAGACACAATCCTATTCACTGTCAGAGATGCTGTTATTGCATCCCTATGAAATTACTTTTCTATGTCTGCATTTATCACCACATGCAACTTGATGCAAGTTGAACATTTAATTGTGATACTCATTTTTTTTCTATAGACCGATAGACATTTAGGTGTCTAACATATGAAAACTGTTAGCCTTAAAACATCTTTGTCTCTGTTACCTCATATCTAAAGACTGGACAATGGATAACCGGTAGAATGATATCTAATGTTATATATTAATATAGAACATAAAATCACATATTAACAAATAAGCTTATCTATGTTACAAATAGCAACTTAGATTACTAACGCTAAAATAATTTTTAAAGATCATATTTGTTTTTCACTATTATTGCTGTTTGTTTATCAGTTTTATTTTCGGGGTCTCCGTTTTTAACATTTGAGTTGCAATGAAATTTTGCAGTGAGCTACTAATAGAAGATCAAGTAGAAGAACTTACAGGGTTTAAAGGAAAACAAATGGCAGTCAAGACTAGTGTCAACATTGCCTTATTTGTGATGTGAAGCCCAGGACCTTGTAAGACTGAAATTGTGTGGAGTGTTTCATATTTTTCTTTTAAAATGTATACATTGAATATGATTGTTGACAAGATGGAAGCACTTTTAAAAGCTAAAATAATTTTTCTCCTTTGCATCTTGCTGTGAATAATCGATGGACTGTGTGGGTTGTTTTTTTTTTCTTTTTCAGATAACCTTTTTCATGCTATTGTCTGCTGTGTGTGTAATGCTTAACTTGGCTGGTTCCATCCTCTCGTGTCAGAATGCTCAACTGGTAAGCTCCCTGGAAGGCTGTCAGTTGGTGAGTAATGAAGAACAAATCTTTTAATAAGGGCAAAGGCTTTTATTTTTCCTTTTTGGAAATCATTAAATAATCAATTTCATTTCTGTTATTTGATGCTGCCTGTAAATCTAAACTCATTATTATTTTGTTCAAAGACACTTTACAGAAAAAGTGCACTATTCTTTATATGATATTGTTACCTCAAGATATTACATAAGTTATTGCATTAGAAGTCTATGAAGGGCAACACCTGTACACAATGGGTGAAATCTTGGCCTCATTAAAGTAAAAACTCCTGTTGAATTCAGCAGGGCCAAAATTTCAGCATCCTGGGCAAACTGTTAGTTATGTTTCCCTATTTGTGCTATAATGTTTTAGTCACCAACTTTACTACTACAGTCTGATAAAAAGCTTCAATTGCAAACACATTACCTAGTACAATAACATAGTGAATCATAAAAACATGAACTTATCATGAAGGCATGTATTTGTGTGTCTAGTATAACAAAGATACGTTATGCATGTATATAGTAGGTTAGTGTATGCTAACAAGGAAAAAGTATAGCTAAAGCTGTAAGAATATTTGTGGCAACACTAATAAGGTATTAAGATATGTAACAGAAATAATCCCAGAAGTACATTACAACACTCCTGTTAATACGTGTCAGAATGATGTTTACTTTTTGCAGCATTGTTACACTCTTCACTAGGGGTAGGCAATAATTTTTGAAGGGGGTGCCCACTTCAAAAATTTCCAGAGTCGTTGCAGGCTGCTCTGGCGGGGGTGGAGCTTCAGGAAAAAGGGGCAGGGCCTCAGATGGAAGGGGCAAAACCTTAAGTAGCAGCAGTTGAAAGCGCTCGCACCTCCCCTGTGGTTCCCAGGCAACACATTAGTGGCGGGGCTGAGAGTTATGAGTCCTTATAGCTCTTGCTATTTAGAGGGCACAAACTTCAGCAGCCATCCAGAAGGCACGAGCCCTTTAAATAGAAGCAGTTGAAAGGTCTCCCAGCTCCCGGCGTGCTGCTAACGCATTGCCTGGGAACCGCCAGGGAGGCACAAGCCCTTTCAACTCCTGCAATTGAAAGGGCTCATGCATTCTGGCAGCTGCTAGGCAACGTGTTAGCAACCGCAAGGAAGACACGAGCCCTTTAAATAGCAGGAGTTGAAAGGACTTGCACCTCCCGGGTGTCTCTCAGGCAATGCACTAGGGGCAGGGCCGGGAGCTGCCGTGGGCTGGATGAAAGGTCTAGGCAGGCCGGATCCAGCCCTCTGACAACCTCTTGCCCAGCCCTGCTCTTGACTCATATTTAATTTGTGATCCCCTATGATCCCCAGATCTCTGTTGATAGTATTCCTTCTTAGGAAGTCATTTGCCGTTTTGCACGTGTGCAACTGATTGTTCCTTCCTAAGCGGAGTACTTTGCACTTGTCCTTATTGAATTTTCATCATATTTACTTCATACTGTTTCTCCAGTTTGTCCAGATCATTTTGAATTTAGCACTTGCACCCTCCCAGTTTAGTATCATCTGCAAACTTTATCTGTGTACTCTCGACACCATTATCTAAATCACTGATGAAGGTATTGAACAGAAGCAGACCCAGAACTCATCTCTGCAAGTTCTCACTTGATATGCCTTTCCAGCTTCACTGGGACCCGGCAATCTTTGGATCCCTTATGCTGCCAAGCCAGCTGAGTCCAGGCACTATTTCTAGCTCTGGACGTAGTAAGACACACTCCCCAATGCAGACCTCCTACCTGGCACCCTTCCTTGGGATCTGAGAGTCTACATTAGAACCAAAACTAGTGCTGCAGCTTCCCAAGTCATATATACATGCTCCTACCAGAGTAAAGTCTTTGAGGTATTCTGGTGTAAAGTTTAACTCTTTGAGGACAAAATGGCAAATACAATACGGGAACATTGTGTATTTTTCTTGATATTACTTTGGTATCATTTGCCATTCTCCTTTCCCTTTCTCTCTAGTTCCAAGCTCATTTGTTACGTATGTTCTTTGTATTGTCAAAACAAAACACAGTCCTCCCCACGTAGCTTTAATCCAGTTATGTGGCTGACTCATGATTTATGTACTGTAGATGTATGTTCTGTACTCCGAGTAAGAATAAAAACGTGGACACGGACTGTGATAAATATGCAAACTGCATTTATTTTAAACAAATAATTAACAGCTAAGCATCATTAGACCCAATCCTCCATACCTTGCATGTTTGATTCTCTGATTTAACTTTGCTTGGGACATATCAGGAATTTGATATCCCAGCCATAGAGACTCATTTTGAAACAACATTGTTTATGCTTTTTAGAAGGATACCTTGTAAATTAGGGTACATGAGTAGCATTCTGAATTATAATTCAGGGAGCCAAATTAAGTGAAGCATAGCTGAGTGTTGAGCTCTGAGAGCCTCAAGGAGCAAAACAGAGAGTAAACGATCAATTAGATCACATGTACCATTAAAAATTAATTAAAGCAAATTTGTTTTAAACCATTGTTATTATTTAAATGGGGTAGGATTGTTGGTAGTGAACATTGCCAATAATAAATTTAGAATTAAGTTTGTGTTTTCTAATTGCAAATACAATCTCAAAGAGAGAGATGTCGTTTATTACAGCAGTTCTAAACCAGCAGTTCAGGGTCCCCTGGGGGCTACAAGCAGATTTCCGGGGGTCTGCCAAAATAAACCAGAGAGGAGAGCCAGCATTAGACTTAGTGAAACCCCGGGCAGAAAGACTGAAAAACAAAGCCTGAGCAAATTAGCTGTTCACAACCCCACTATTGTGGGGCCCTGGACAATTGCTCCGTTGGCTATCCCCTAACAACATCCCTGGCTTTTTAATTTACTATATATGCAGAGAAACAGTTGTGGCACAGATGGGTGATGGAATTTTTACAGCATGTTGTGGGGGCCTCAGAAGGAAAAAAAGGTTGAGAATCAGTGATTTATAATATCCTGTCTTGATGGGTGATGTATCTTCTTGCCAGTGTGACTGTTATTGGAGATACCACTTATAACAGGAAGATTTTTAATTTATATTGCTTTGGTCACTTCTGAAACTTGATTATACATTTATGACTTGCTCTGCACCTCCTGTGAGGGATTGGGTGCACTCTTTACTCCCTTGGAATTCAGTAGGACTTGAGAACTTTCAATACTTCCATAGATTGACCATAAAATGTTGGTTTACCTCATTACTTAGGTCACTGACATACAATATTTTAAGTCCCATTAACTATATAACTTGCAAAATTTGGTGCTGGTGAGGATCACATCACCCTTTACAATGACCTTTTGATCTGGTGATCATAGGAAAGTGAGCAAATTATCCACCAGGATGTAGCTCAGGGATGGGCAATAATTTTTGAAGGGGGGGCAGTTCACGAGTTTTGTCCGAAGGGGCAGGGCCTCAGGCAGAAAGGGCGGTGCCTTGGGGAAGGGGACCATTCCCTGTAAGTGCGGCCCACCCTGAAGGAGACTCTGTGTGGTCCCCCACCTCCAGTACCTGATTGGCCTGGGGGTGGAGGGCCACATGAAGTCTTTGCCCCCACCCCGCCCTTCCAGGGGCATGCAGCAGCTAGTGAGAACGGCCAGCTCTTTTGAACAGCTGCCAGTTCCCTCTGGTGCCGCACACCCCTGGTGGAGGGGAAGAAACTTTGTGTGCTCCCCCCATCTCCTGGTCTTGATTGGCCGTGGAGGTGGGGGAGCGGCAGGGTGGCCACGGGTTGGATCAAACAGGTTGGTGCACTGGATCTGTCCCGCAGACCTATCTTGCCCACCCCAATGTAGCTTCATAACTTGGAAACTGACACATGCAGTGAGGCTGATGGCTCCATTAAGTTTATCTAGCAAAGTAAATTGATGTCAGTCCCATTTTCTATAAAAATAAACTTAGCTTTTATTTATGTTTGGGGATGAAATTCTATTTTAATTTCAATCTAACCTGAGTTTTATTACAAATACTGACTCATGCTACATTAGGTGTGGCTTTGGTGCCTTCTGATCTTGCAAAATAAGCATACTGAGTCAGTATTTGAAAGAGAAACCTCTAAAGCAGTGGTTCCCAAACTTTTCAGCATCATGCCCCCCTTTTTGATTTTTGAGAAACCCTCATGCCCCCCACCCCCCAATAGAAGAAAAACTTTTTGAGCAAAAAAAAAGGGGCCAAAAAACAAAAATAGCAGCACCACTTGGGAGGGGAGGAATTGATGGGTGGGGGGCTGGGTTGCCTTGTGCCCCCCCTGAAATTTCTACACGCCCCCCAGTTTGGGAACCCATGCTCTAAAGGACCACATAGGTGCTAAGGGAAGGAATAGTGATAAAGGAGGTGATGTTTTCTTTCCTGAGTTTGTTAAGGATCACTGTGAAAGCCAACCTAGTAATTAACATAGGTGGCAAGGGAATCTGGAAGGGTGAGGGTATCACTGTGTGATGGTTGCTTAGTCATCAGTTTAGGCACATATTCATATCTTGGTGGGTCTCTTTAAGTTTTTGTTTTGTGTTGAAATATTACGGAGAAAGTGAGTCGCTTTGAAATATTGAAGTCCCCAGTAGAATTTCAAGAGGGAAAGCCACAGTATTTTTCACTTTCTGTCTGAAACTTGAGATTATGGATAATTTTGCTATTAAACAGTTTCTGAGTCTCACCTTTGAGAAGGCATTGTATTTAGTAATATTAGATGTAACTATTTGCTTTTTTTGTCTATTTGAATCCCTGATCAGTTTAAAGTCCTGATCTTGCAAACACTTTGTACTTGAGTAACCTTACTGATGAGAATAATCACTCTGAAGTCACAGGACCTGACCCTAAACAGCTTTACATCCCTCTAGCAGTGCAGAGGGATCATAAATTGGGAATAAATTACATATGCAATTTATAGCCTCTTTACACAGCAAGAGTAATGTAAAGGGGCTTTCGTGTAAATAAGAACCTAGCCCCAAAACTTTACTCTCATCAGTGTGGCTGTATTAGCACTTGAATAATCATGCAGAACATAACACATCTG